AATATATTTACACAGATCACTTTGGGTTTTGGAGAAATTATCAAGTCTTGTCGAGTCAAAGGGCTCGAGTCCAAGTGAAGTCACGAGTCATTGATGTTAAAGTCCAAGTCGAGTTGCAAGTCTCTTTACATTTTGTCAAGTCGAGTCTAAAGTCATCAAATTGATGACTCGAGTCTGACTCGAGTCCAAGTCATGCGACTCGAGTCCACACCTCTGTGGCTGATAATAAAGACCCAAACTTCCCTGTTTCTGTTTACGTCTGCTGCAGATAAGCACAAAGGGAAGGGAGTTAGCCCCAGACCTAATGTTAGCTTCTCCTCTGTGTATTCGAAGTACGGTCGGGACGCCGAAGCAGGAAAGAGCTAACGTGTAAACAGCCGTGTTAAATGCACTGTTCAGAAAAAAGCATTTATTTTATTAAAAGTAAAAAAAAAAAGACTAGACTGTGTAGACTGTAAAACAGATCTGAGATGAGTAGTAAACGTGTAGCAAATGAATAGAAGAAGAAGAAGAATAGAATAATAGTCTTTATTGTCATTATGTTCGGTTAAAACATAACGAAATTGGGGAAGGCTTCTCCGCAGGTGTATCACAGATACGTACATACAAACATTACTCTGCTGTAATGGTACTGTAATGTAAACAACAGTTTTTGGCTCACAGATCGCATCAGGCCAGGGGTAGGTGTAGAGAAACTGAGAAGAAACACCTGTCTTTTAACAGTAGTTGAAAGTGAATTTTTTGCAAGTCAGGGTACTAGCACAATATCTTAAATAAATAAAAAGCTCAGAGAAAAGAAATTATTGAGTGGAATGTTGAGATAGAAAATTGTTCAGAACTGCAAGCCAGATATTGAATGCATTGAAGTTGTGATAAGCATAGCCACAGAGTGTTTATTTGTCAAGCGTAGTTGTAAGATGTAAACCCCATCATTCATGTTCATTCATGGAAAGGTAAATTGAAGACAGCTGTTGCAGTTGTTTTGCTTTCTTTCTCTCTGTAACTTATTAAACCCATCATGTTAAGGATTATGAACCGTTTCCATTTCACAAGGGTATGAAGTTACATACCCTTTATGGATACTATACTGAACACACGCAAAGAAGCATACATGTAGACAGCTTGTCATATCTACATGAAAAATAATTCTACCTACTTTACTTTTCTATAGGTTACTTGAACACCGGGATGGACGCCAACGCCAACAACCAGCAAAAGCAACAAACCACGGCAGGTAAACAGCCAATATCTTATCTTTTAGCATCATCCGCTCCCTCTTCAGATTTGGAATGGATGCTTTTGACCCGTCTGTAGTCTTTTTTTTGTGGCATTGTTTACATCCAGCTTGTTTCCCCCTGTGGTTTGGGTGCGTTGCATTTAAGGCTCCAGGTCTGGGTGTTCTTAGCTTAGCTCAGGTGTGGGCAAATGTTTTGACTTGCGGGCCACAATTGTCCATAAATTGACCAGGACAGGGTCAGGTCAGGAGCAGATAGATGGAGATAAATTGAACAGGACAGGGGGTCAGGTCAGGAGCAGATAGATGGAGCATTTGTGTGAATTGAGATAAATGACATGTAAAAGTCATGTGTAAAGGCTAAAATGCGTTTATTATTTTCTACACCAACTATTGGGGAAACGTGGGTATTGCAGGGAAAAGGGAGAAGTATTTATATCTAAATTAGAGATGTAAGTAAAGTAAGATATATAAGTAAATATAATATAATATTTAAAGTTTGGTGTCCTGGTTTAAAAAGGCTGCATCTGGCCCCGGGCTTAGTTTGCCCATGCCTGGCTTAGCTCATCCATATTTATACATATTTTTTCCTGCCTGTATTTGTATTTAAATTCAGGTGATCTTTTTATCATCTTAGTAAAATCTCCAGTTTGACTTCACAAAAACATCGTTCCGTGTCAATATCTCATGTTACAACGAGGGCAACTGCGGCTCCTAAACTAGTGTGGCCTATATATGGAGTATTTTGTCTTTTTATTTAGTGTGTGTGGTTTATATTCAAGTGTGCTCAATAGTCCGAATATAACGGTACCTGGATATTGGGGTATCGGGTTGTTTTGCGGGTAATTATCAGGTGCAAATTGCCATTTCTTCGAGAAAACATTAATAGCTCTTTCTGGGAGAACATAACAACAACATTAATAATAAACTCTGTCAGTAGTCATAAATAGCACATGAAGACACACCTCAGGTCATAACAATACGACACTTTTATTATGAATATATTACTATACCACAATAACGAACAAGTTCTTATTTTTTTTTTTGTCTTCCTTTTCTGTTGGTCTTTTATACAGTAAAGAGTATAAGTGTACAAATGTATACAAAAATTCTTCAGGCCACTTAAGTTCCAAAAAAAGTAACGTTGTGCAATGTTGAAGCACAATCAGAATTCGGTGATACACATGCCTACAGATAGACACTGGATCCCCCAGGTCAAACATATAACCAGACACAAATTGAACAGAAAGAGCATAACCAGACCACTAGATTTTAAAAGTACCATGTAAATGCTGAAAAGGGAGAAATACTGTTCATCTTTTTGACTTGTAATTGAGTTCTAATATATATATTAGTAAAAATGGGCAAATTCTCTTTCATTACAAGCAGTTTATCCACTCCCTTATATGGCAAATTTTGCTTTAGTGGTATGTTTTTTTGCGAAACTAAATTGTTATCATAGCTCAAGGGGGAACATGGTTTGGACCCGTCTGATCCATTCAACTGCCCAAACTATCACATTAATGATTAACTTGTACATTGCGATACATGGAGTGAACGGTGGCCTAGCTGCTGCAGTGAGTGTCATGTATACAATTGCTTGAGTGACAATGACTGACAACGGACAGTCACGCTCACGTTTATACTGTTACTCTAAATCTCACTTCAGATTTATTTTCGAGTGTTCAAATGGTGCTGAGGACCCAGATTTCCTTTTAAATCCCATTCTGTTTGTTTTTTTTAGTTTGAACTGCCTGTGAACTGTAAAAGTGACATGGCAATTGTTGGATGCCCCCCCAAACATTTTTTGGAAAGGTGAAAAAAAGGGTTCTCTACTTGACAGTTAATAAAATCACATTTATAATATGATAATAGATTGTACAAGACAGTTGAGAGGTGTGTGGTGTGTGTTGCAGTTAAACAATATTTTCTAAATAATGCAATATATGCCCAGCACTACTGCCAGTTAGCACAGTTGTTGCTAACTTTGCTCAAAGACTGTTTAAACACAGAACAAACTCATCCCAGAACTCTGTGTTTCAACACTGAGCCTTCAACTGTGCTTGATATCACTTCGTCCATATAGAAGAGTGATGGCAGAAAGACCAAAAGAAAGTTATTTTTAAATGCTGATCTCATTCACAAGTCATCTTGGCGTAACAAAGGGAACAGAAACAGAGCTGAGAAAGAGAAGTTTGGAAATGCAAGCTCAGGTCTGGCTGATCCATCTGTTTCGACCATTTCAAAAAATAAAAAGAAATAAATCTGACCAGGTCAAAATAAATTTGTTTTTGTTTTACACATATCATATTGTAATAAATGCAGCACATTTAGCCCATTTTAAAAAGTAGGCTAAGATTTTTTTCTCTCTCATTGTTTGTTCTTATAAGTTATATAGAAGTTACATAAAAGTAGACATGATGCCTTCTGTGCTTTATTTATATACCACACTGTTAGGGTTATGCTGCAGGCACTGGGAGATTACTGTGTTGAAATTAAGTATGTCAGATAATAATATTAATAATATTATCATATTATTATTATTATTATTTTTATTTCCCTTCCTTGAACCGCAACCTTAACGTGCTGGAGGGGTTTGAGTATCCGAATGAACCTAGGAGCTATGTTGTCGGGGGCTTAATGCCCCTGGTAGGGTCTCCCAAGGCAAACAGGTCCTAGGCGACGGATCAGACAAATAGCGGTTCAAACCCCCCCTTGATGAAGAAAATAATAAAATCAAAGAGGTTCACGTCGCCCGGATTGACGTCACCGGGGCCCCACCCTGGAGGCAGGCCCGGGGTTGGGGCTCGCAGGCGACCGCCCGGTGGCCAGGTCCCTGCTCCCCGGGGCCGCCCGGGCTCCGC